GAACCGCTCTGGCAGCGTTCGCTGTGGGTTGGGGCAGCTGAGCTGTTTTGTTGGTGGCTTCCTTTCTGAAGCCGCGTAAGCAAGAGGTAAGAACTAAAGCAAAGATGATGTCTGTCTGAGAGTGCGTCTAACTGTGTGACATTCCTTTCTTTGTATTTAAATATGCCTCCTAAATGCTAAAAGCTTAATATCTTCTTGGGCTAAGAGTCCAAGGAATTTCTTGCTTGCCTTTAATTTCCAATTAGCTGAGCCTCTTGAGTCTCCCTGCTCTGCCCTGGAGGCTACGTAATCATCAGACCCTCCGTGCAGAGAAGCCTCAGAAATTGATGTAACTAATAATCATGGAAAAAGTCCTTCCACGTTTACAGTCTATGGCTGCAAAAATGGAGTCTTGATTTAAAAACCTGCAGCGACAAATGGATTATTTCGGTGGCAAATTAGTCTCTATGGACCAACAATTTGGGGATCTGAACACTGGAATTGGAAACCAGAAGATCAATTCCAAACACTTAGAGCCAAGGTTAATGCCCTGCGCACAGTAGTGAGTGCAGCGATGAGAGATAACATGCCTCTACATTTTAAATGGAAGCCATGGAATACAATATTAAAAGTGAAAATGGAAAGGAGCTGAACTGAATGAAAGCGAATGATACTCGCATATTTGCTAATAAAACGATAGGCGGTGTCCGGGCACTGAGCTTCCAGAGGAATATTGAGGATGACAGTGGGTCTTTACTAAAGGAACTGGAACTAATGCTGCTGAGAAGGCGGCCATTGAACTCGGGAGCGCTCCCGGCCCCAGGGAAGCCTGCTTGGCGCTGGCCGTTCTCAGTACCTGTCGAATCGAGTCTTTCCCGAATGTGGTGGACAGCTTCCAAAAGCCTTGTGATGCTGCAAAAAGCGAAGCAGCCGAGACGAAGATCTCTCGAAGCTTTGAGAATACTCTTTATTTCCAGTCAGGACAACGTCTTTCCAGTCGCAATGCTAAATACTTCTAGGGCCCGAAGAAAGAAATTCTGAAGGTGAGAGTTACTGTTTGGATCAGGGATCTGGGGAGAAAAGCCTGTGTTTGGAAGCAGTTTACTTTGTGCAGAATTGCAGGCAGCCTCCTCAGCACAGCTAGAAGAGAAACCTCTCCCCCGGGATCTTGCTCTTGTCCTCAGCACTGGGAAAGTTTATATACTACCCCCACGTCTACTGTCCTTCTAAGAGATACTCTGTTCAGCATCCGCATAACTGTTTTACAGTTAGAGAGGCTTGTTTCCCATCTTTCTTAAAAGTTGTAATAGTTGGAAACATACTTTTGGTTTTGTTTTGTGAGAGCATTTGATGTGAGTTTTCTGTGTGTTACCAGCAAGTGATGCAGTGGTGCCTCCTGAATTAGACTGTGAGCTTTTCAGAACAGCTCAAAGTCTCGTTTGAATTATATACGTGCACATAAAGAAGCCTAAATAAAGGTGGATCCCTAGCCAAAAGTCTGTGGTCTCTTAGGAGTGAGAAAAAAAAAAAAAAAAAAAGAAATCTGCCATCCAGCTCCCTGAGAGCCAAGGCGGCAGCTGGCATGTGTTTCTCGGTGCCTTTTTCCCTCCTGGAACCGCTTAATCCCCTTCTGGGTGCTATGGAGGTTGGTAGCGTGATTCCCAGCTGCAAGGCACAGGGGCTGAAAAGCCAGCGGGCTAGTGTGCCAGCAGCGAGGAATGCGTGCCAAATCCATTAGCCCTGGATTAGTCCTGGATGAGGCTCAAAATCCCAGCCAGGCTGGCCAGAGGAGAGCGGCGTTTCGGGTCTTCTCCCGGGGCCTGCTGCAAACGCTGCCGGAGGGGCCGGCGGCCGGGCGGGCTCTGCGCAGGGAGGCTACGGAGGGCCAGGGCCTGTTCACCACTCCTTCGCCTCTGCTAGAGGGGACAAAGTTAGCGAATTATTCGGGACTGAAACTTTACTCCAAAGCCTAGAGAGCTGGCCAGGGAGCTGCATTCTTGTGCTGTCGAAATAAGATATTTCAAATTTGTTTTTAAAATTTGGTTTAAAGTGCATGCATATCGAGGGCTGAAACTGAAACGAAACGTTCCAGCAGGTTTGAAAGCAAATTTTACTTCTCGTTTCCCCTCGTGGGGTATGTTGAAATGTTGGGCGTTTTGTTCCACTTCACACTGAAGTTTTAAAAACCTTAACGGAACAGAAACTTCCATGCTCAGCACAGCTCTTGTGATGGCCTGGGTAAGCGGATTAGAGTTCACCATCAGGCTTTTGTACCCGCAGTATCTATGTTGACAGGTTAATACCTAACAGCTCTCCTGCCTGGATCTCAAAGCGCTTTTAAATCACTGATTACCTATGTGTCTGAAAGGGAGGCAAATACAGCGTCCCGCTGTTACGACACCCTCCTGCGAGTCCGAAGCTGAGGCTGCGATTCCCATGTCCGGTGCGGAATATCACCACCCCGGTGGTGTTCCAGAGCGAATGCAATTTGACCTCACATTTGGAAATCGGTCCTAGGAAAGTTCTTTGCAGATGGAAATTGCAGTAGGAGCCAGCACTGTTGTTTGAAAGGTTGCACAATTGCAAGGAAACTAATTTGCTTGGGAAGTTAGAAACCAGTCTCTGTATGGTAGGTGCAATTCATATCCTTTGAAATGGAAGGTTAAGGCGGTAAAGTCATTTCAGAGATTTGAGAAATGTTTTTAAACCTAATCTGGCGCATGGCATAATTTCTGGCAGTTGAAGCGTTAGAAGTACTATTTGGTGCTATCTCTGTACTTTTCCTGGCCCAGCTGGCGGTGTCACCGTCTGAGGGGCCTGATCTGGCGTCGGAGGAGGAACGAGCTCGCCCCCGTTTTGTCCCACGGCTGCGGGACTCGGAGGGGTGCCGGGAGCCCTCCGAGTGGGTGAGACCGGCTGGTTTGCACAGGGCCAGTTAGCGCCAGGGGCTTGAGCATCCCTGCTTAGCCTCAAAAAACGTGCTGGCTCCTTCTGCTAATAACGCTGGTGGTTGCGTAGGAGCGTCACAAGTAAGAATCGAGCTGCAGCTCAGAGAGGAAAGTGTGAAGACCCCAGCTGATGACTCCTCGCCAGCGACAGGCAGAAAGCGGGGAGGGCTGGGGTTTGTGCTGGAGGCAGCTCCTGTTTGTTCCAGGGTAGGCAGGTTACGTCCATCGCTGCCTCCTGCCAGGAAGAGAGGAGGTGCTGGAAAAGCTCATTATCCGGTATCATAGTTGGTAGAGTTGCAAAAGAGAAACCTTTCCAGTTCCTCTGAGGGAGGAAGGGTGTCACAGAGCCCCTGCTCCAAGGGAAGGCTACGTGCTTGATTTGTGGCCGTTTCACTGGAACAGCTGTTAGAGAGGACTTTCTGGTGCCAAAGAGATAATCTGACTTCAGGGAAAATCTTAGTCCATGAGGGAACTGTTGTGAAAGCTGGCCACGTTGACCTCCTCCTGTGCGGGCTGTCTCTGTCAGTCCAGAGCTTTCCAAGAGCAACCTTTGCACTGACCTTCACCTCATCTCCTACTGCACCTCGGGCAGGCATCCATTAACAGGTGTCCTTGCCAAGGAGACCCTGTAGCCCTCTACATGTGCGGTAGGAAGGGAGCAGAGCATGGAGGATTCAGCGTGCAGCAAACAATTCCTGTGGGTTTGGACCCAGTACTGGAAACTGTGCAGCAACGGGTAGATCAGGTGCAGCAGCGAGGGGAGCAGCGCCAGGACGCAGACAGGCTCAGGCGTCTCGCGAGCGGCATGCTGTGCACCTCGGCCCGCCACAGCGCAGGCCAGCTCCCCTCCTGCGGGCTGCTTCCTCTGTGGCCGATCGCGGTCTC